GAGGAGGAGGAGGAGGAGGAGGAGGAGGAGGAGGAGGAGGAGGAGGAGGAGGAGGAGAGAGGAGGAGGAGGAGGAGGAGGAGGAGGAGGACGGAGGAGGAGGAGAGGAGGAGGGAGGAGGAGGAGGAGGAGGAGGAGGAGGAAGAAGAAGAAGAAGAAGAAGAAGAAGAAGCAGAAGAAGAAGAAGAGGAATAAGAAGAAGAAGAAGAAGAAGAAGAAAAAAAAGAAGAAGAAGAAGAATAAGAATAAGAAGAATAATAAGAAGAATAAGAAGAAGAATAAGAATAAGAAGAAGAAGAAGAAAAAAAATAAGAAGAAAAAGAAGAAGAATAAGAAGAAGAAGAAGAAGAGGAAAAAGAATAATAAGAAGAAGAAGAATAAGAAGAAGAAGAAGAAGAAGAAGAATAATAAGAAAAAGAATAAGAAGAAGAATAAGAAGAATAAGAAGAAGAAGAAGAAGAATAATAAGAAGAAGAATAAGAAGAAGAAGAAGAAGAAGAAGAAGAAGAAGAAGAAGAATAAGAAGAAGAATAAGACGAATAATAAGAAGAATAAGAAGAATAAGAAGAAGAATAAGAAGAAGAATAAGAAGAATAAGAAGAAGAATAAGAATAATAAGAAGAAGAAGAAGAAGAAGAAGAAGAAGAAGAAGAAGAAGAAGAAGAAGAAGAAGAAGAATAATAATAATAAGAAGAATAAGAATAATAATAAGAAGAAGAAGAAGAAGAAGAAGAAGAAGAAGAAGAAGAATAAGAAGAATAATAAGACTAATAATAAGAAGAAAAATAAGAAAAAGAAGAAGAAGAAGAAGAAGAAGGAGAAGAAGAAGAATAATAATAATAAGAAGAATAATAAGAAGAAGAAGAAGAGGAGGAGGAGGAGGAGGAGGAGGAGGAGGAGGAGGAGCAGCTCTTGGGGCAGCTCTTAGGGTGTGTGGGGGGGGGGGCACGCGTCGTGTCCGCGCGGCGCGCGGCCGTCCCGCGCCGCCGGGCGGCCGCGGCGGGGCCTCAGGGCCTGCGCGGCGGCGGCCGTCAGCGCCGCCCTCTCGCCCGCGGCTCGGCCGTCTGCGCCGAGCGGCGGGCGCCGTCTACCGCATGAGGAGGCGGATCGACGGCGCCTTGCCTCCTGGCCCGACTGGCGCGGGCGCCTGCCGCCTCGGGAGCCGCGGCCCTGATCCTGTTCCCACTACGGGTCCGCTCTGGCGTGCCTTCCGCAGCCCCTCCTGGTTGGCGGCGGCAGGCCCGCTGGCGGTGCCAGGCTGGCGTGCCACTCGTCGCGCGAGACTGCGCGGGCCCTCTTGGTCTGCTCCTCTGCTGGCGGGCCATCAGGCGGTCCTGCCCGCTTAGCTCCTCTGGTGGCCTCCAGGCTCTCAGCTGCTGCTCGGAGTGCGGCGGCTCGAGCAGCCTGAGCCAGTCGGCGGCCCTGCTGTGCCAGTTGCTCCTCTGTGCGCCTGGTGTCGTTGGCGCCGTCACTGGTCGAGCGAGCCCCCTGCGCTGTCTCCTCTGGTCTGCGCGGGTACCCAGCCTCCTCCTCATGGCAGGTTCTCCCCCCTCGGCGAACCTAGCAGCACCTTCGCTGCAGGTCTGGAGCCTGGCTGCTCTCGCTCTGGAGGGACCGCAGCAGCCTGTCCTCCGTGGCTGGGCGGTGGGGTTCGGGACGCAGAGAGTGGCCGTCCTCCCCCTCCCTTGCCTGGCCGCCGTGGGGATCGTTCACGCATGTCCCCCTCGCGGTTGTGAATGTTGTGGCGTCGGGGAGGGGGAGGAGGATGAGGAGGAGGAAGAGAAGGAAGAGGATGATGAGGAGGAAAGGGAGGAGGAGGAGGAGGAGGAGGAGGAGGAGGAGGAGGAGGAGGAGGAGGAGGAGGAGGAGGAGGAGGAGGAGGAGGAGGAGGAGGAGGAGGAGGAGGAGGAGGAGGAGGAGGAGGAGGAGGAGGCGGGGGGTGGAGAGGATGATGATGAGGAGGAGGAGGAGGAATAGGAAGAGGAGGAGGAGGACGAGGAAGAGGAAAAGGAGGGGGACACATCACACGATACTTATTAATAATGAGATGGCAAATCGTAACATGATGGAACGGGCGAAGACCATTACCACTAGTATCAAGTAACACTTACGTATAGTATTACTAGCCATGAGACTACTACCAGTATATTAGAGTAAACGTGGCATTATTCCTAATTTGTCTGTTGGTAGCACGACGTTTGAGACTCCTCTTAATTGCAGAACGACGAATGCTAATACTTACACAAACAGACGCACACCATACTAATACATATCCCACTACTGCGCATATATCAATGTTACTACTAAGAATACCAACGACGTTTATAATCGCAATATCAGTGCACCTAGCCATACGATTATCATTACGATTAATCGTACTCGAAACACGAAGGATTCCAATACGAACAATACGGGCACTACTAACGACACTACTCTACCTAGGCGAAGAATGACAACAGCACGACGAGCATTACTACTTAGATAACGAAGAATCGTCATCACTACAGTAAGAGCCATACTGTTACTAGTTGTAATAATAATGGTAATAATCTGAATGGTACCAACAGTAGTAATACAAACACGATTAATAATAAACCGCTACCAATAATAAGAGGAGGACAAGGACGAGCAGGAGGATGATGATGAGGAGGAGGAGGCGGAGGAACGGGAGGAGGAGGAGGAGGAGGAGGATGATGATGATGATGAGGAGGAGGAGGAGGATAAGGAAGGCATGAGGAGGAGGAGGAGGAGGAGGAGGAGGAGGAGGAGGAGGAGGAGGAAGAGGAGGAGAAGGAGGTGGTGGTGGAACTCTGCGTCTTGTCGATGACGACGTGCAGTGGCCCTTATAATGGGCTGGCTCGAACCTGGCCTGTAGCCAGGTTGAGGGTATGGAAGGCCCGATCCCTTCTCAGGCCCGTCCGAAGATTTGGTCGGCCCAGGCTGTCCCGCGCGTAGGCGGGCCAGCCCGAGCGGCGGCGGCACTCCTGCTGGACGGCAGGCACGGCCTGTGGCGCCACGCCTGCTGGACGGCAGGCACGGCAGCGAGAGCCTCGAGGGGACACCTGCGAGGCAAAGATTTGGTCGGCCCAGGCTGTCCCGCGCGTAGGCGGGCCAGCCCGAGCGGCGGCGGCACTCCTGCTGGACGGCAGGCACGGCCTGTGGCGCCACGCCTGCTGGACGGCAGGCACGGCAGCGAGAGCCTCGAGGGGACACCTGCGAGGCAACGTGTGAGATCATTGGATGCGAGGCGGCCGGACCTCCTTCGGGCCAGGACCGCCTGGTTGGCGCGGCACAACACTCGCGCTCAGCGCCATCCGGAGCGACCGTGCGCCGATCTGCTGTAGATGCGGCACAAAAGAAAATCGTGGGAAATCCCAGAGCACGGGGGCGGGCGATGGGCGAGCCTCGCCTCAATCACCGAGTCGGCACAGCGGACGGGAGGAACGGCGGCGTCGAGCAAGTCAGCCTCTGCAATGCACATGCTCACCCTCCCTTGAACGACGTGGGCCGGGGCGGAGGCCGGGCTGCTCATGGCCTCGTCGTCGAGGGCGCCGCAGACCGCCTGCGAGACGGTGGTGGAGCTCGCCGCGGGCTCGGAGGGCAGCAGACCATCCTTGGCCTCGCCGCCTCGGGCGCCAGAGCTGATGTCCGCCTCGTCGATGGTGTGGCACACGTCTGCGGCTTCATCGCCACCCTGTGCAGATCCTGGTCCCGAGCGGACGTTCACGGCCCTGACTGTCCGGATCGAGCCGTCATCCATACGCACCTGGTACATCGCCTTGGCGGGGACCACGGTCAGGATCACGGCCGACATTCCGTTGAAGGCAGTGGCCTCTCTGAGCCCAGTCAAGTGGACCTGAGCCCCCACCGGCTGCAGGAGGCCGGGGCCCTCGCCGCCCGCCGCGCGGGGGCTGGAGCACGGCGCCTGCTCCTGGTCAGGCTGCAGCAGGCTAGCCGCGTCCACGCCGTCCTCGTCGAGGTCGTCCGGGACCTTGGCCTGCTCCTGCAGCTCGCTCTCGCCGATCTCGCTGGAGTCGTCTGTCGCGCCTGCTCCCGCGCTGCCGTCGTCGTTCAAGCCGTTGCTGGGGCTGCGGCGGCGGGGCGTTAGTGCCCTGCGCCCAGCCCAGCGTCTCACCGATCGCTGCCGCGGCTGGGAGTAGGAGGCGACCTGCCATCCTCCCCTCGCGCGGCGCGCCAGGTGCCTGGTGAGAGCCGTGCTGCACCGTCGCTGTGGCCGGCGCGCGGGCAGCGTGCCCTGCGCCCAGCTGCTGCGCGGCAGCACTTGCGGCGGCTCCTCCTGGCACCGGCCAGCGGCGTCCTGCTCGTCCGGCGCGTGCGCGGGGACGCGCAGTGTGAGCGGTCTTGGAACATGAATGGCAGCGGCAAACAGTGGCTGCAACTGCATCTCCATGGTCGGCTTGTCCTGGGGCAGCGGCTGCAGCCCGGCGGCAGCAGCAGGAGGCTCCCCTTCTTGGACACGAGAGTATAAGGCATCTCCGTCACCTGGCCGAAGAGCATCGCCATCACGTGGCTGCCCGGCCGTCCGGAGAACAACGTCAGGTAGAGGATCTGCATGAACTGGTCGCTGAGCGGGTCGCTGAGGAGCAGCACCAGCGGCAGGCCGAAGGGCGGCGCGAAGGCGCAGCGCCAGGGTGGCGACATCGGCGCCCCAGATCGGCCTTCTGCGCCGGGCTGCATAGCCCAGGCGGCAGAGCGCTGCCGCCTCGGGCCTCGGGGCCAGCCGCGGGGCCAACGCCGGTGGCATCTCGTAAGCCATGGCAGGTCGGGGTCGCTCGGGAAACGACGCCCTGGGCGCGGGCTGCTGGTCGGGCTGGGGGCGCCACAAACCAAAATGCACCGACGGGAAATGTCTCCGTCGGCTCAAGCCCACGCCTGGAGAAGGAGGGAGGAGGGAGGAGGGAGGGCACACGGCTGGCTCGTGTGTGCCAAGCATCCTGCCGTCTTGTCCTCCGCCAGCCCTGCCCCTCGCCCCCTGCGCAGGCCGTGGAGGAGGCCGACGGCCCGCCTTTGGTGCTACATCTTTCTTCACAAGAGGCGTGTGCCACTCGCTCCGTGGCGATGCCCATCCCAGCCTCCTCGTCCTGCCTTCCTGCCCTCCCTCCTCCCTCCTCCCTCCTCTTCTCCTCCTCCTGCTCCCCCTCCTGCTCCACTTCCTCCTCCTCCTCCCCTTCCTGCTGCTTGTGCTGCTCCTCCTCCTCCTTGCCGCGGGGCTGTTTGCATTCGGTCTGAGAGACCGCTCGTATGCGGAGGCGATGAGTCAGCGCGAGCTCGAGGCTCGCGCTGCGGCCCAGTCCCGAAGGGATGGCCCCGTTCCCGAGGCGGATTTTTTTAGGGTGGGGGGGTGTCCTGTCGGAGAGCCCCGCTTGGGGATGAAACCCAGGCGTGGGACAAAACGGCTCTTCTGAGAAACTCGTCGGATAGACGTCCCCACCCCTACCCTGTTTCTCTGACCTGGATCTCTCTCTCTCTCTCTCTTTCCTCCATCTGTGGGGCAGCACACCTCCTCCTTCCCCTCCTCCTCCTTCTCTTTCTCCACCTCCTCCTCCTATCCTCCCTCCTCCTGAAGATTTGTGAAAACGTCACAAACCGAACTTTCGGAGATCCGCGCGGATTTCTTGGATCGGCGCTGGTCCCCCCAGCGGCGCGCTCCACCCGCGAGGGAAGGGGGTTCCAGCGCCGATCCAAGAAATCCGCGCGGACCTCTCGAGGTTTATGTTTACGTTGTTTTTCCGTCTTCTATCTTCGTCCTTACCTCCTCCGTCATGCCTCCTCCCTTGTCCGTCCTCCTCCTTCTTTTCTCATTGCTCTTGCCCTTCCTTTCCCCGCTCTCGGCGCTCGGACGTGCAGGCGTGTTCCTCTTCCCTCCTCTTTTCTCACTCCTCTCCCCCGAGGCATCCAGAATTTGACATCGTGCCCATGCTGATCGGCAGGGGCGGCCGCAACATGAGGGAGATCAACACCGCCACCAACGCGAAGATCCGCGTGCGTGGCAAAGGTGGCACGGAAGCCGCGGGACGAGCGGGAACAGATGACCGACGATCGAGGGTCGAGGCTACCGGACGTTTTGGGGGGCCTTTTTGGGCCTCCCAGGGCATCCTTGTCGCCAGGGCGGGGTCCGCCTCGAAATGCTGGCCAGAGCGTTCCCTCATGACGCTGACGACGACCATTATTGTTGTTGTTGTTGTTGTTGTTGTTGTTGATGTTGATGTTGATGTTGATGTTGATGTTGTTGTGGTGGTTGCTGTTGCGGTTGCTGTTACTGTTGCTGTTGTTGTTATTGTTGTTGATGTTATTGTTGTTGTTGTTGTGGTTATCGCTGTTGTTGTTATTGTAGTAGTAGTAGTAGTAGTAGTAGTAGTAGTAGTAGTAGTAGTAGTAGTAGTAGTAGTAGTAGTAGTAGTATCAGTAGTAGTAGTAGTACTAGTAGTAGTAGTAGTAGTAGTAGTAGTAGTAGTAGTAGTAGTAAGCGTCGTCGCCGTCGTCGTCGTCGTCGTAGTAGTAGTAGTGGTAGTAGTAGTGATAGTAGTAGTAGTAGTAGTAGTAGTAGTAGTAGTAGTAGTAGTAGTAGTAGTAGTAGTAGTAGTAGTAGTAGTAGTTGTAGGTGCGGCTGTGTTTGGCAATCGAACAGGCCCGTCAGGGTAACGATGCTCAGACGTCGAGTACGTTGACGAGGCTGTGGAAGGTGTTCCTTTCGTTGGACGGACTGCTGTTCAGCGAAAGTGCGACCCCGACCCCGACGACACGGCGTGAGCGCCTCCAGGAGCGCCTGCGGTGGATCCAGGACGGCCAGTGGGATGTCGCCTGGCTTTCCATGGAGGACCAGACGCGCACCGCGGTCACCACGAAGGGCCGCGAGGATCACGTCGCAGCCCGTGTACGCCGTGTCACCGAGCTCGCACGAGCTGGAGAAATGTCTCGGGCGTCAGCGGCAGTGTGGCCCCAGGGGGACATGGCGGACGCAGCGGCGGTGGTGAGGAAGTTCAGCACCACCCAGCAGCCTGAGGCGCCCCGCCCAGGCGAGTGGGGCCCTCTCCCTGGCACTGGGGCCGCCCCGCATGGGCCAGGGAGAGGGTCCGCAGGGGCGGGAGCCGACGTGGCGATGCCGCCAGCCGCGGCTCCCCACGAGCTCGGCGGCGCAGCAGAACTCCACCGCCGTGTGGCCAACCACCTCAAACGTCAGTTTGGCCGCTTCCCCCGCCGTGGAGGGGCGGGGCCTGGAGGAGGACGCTACGAGCACTGGGCCCCGCTCAAATGCGATGAGGATGGGGCAGAGGCGGTGGCCAACGCGCTGGCACGACTGGCCATCGGGGACCTCCCCCCTGAGGCGCTAGCCGCCCTGACGGCGGCGCGCCTCGCAGGCGTCCCCAAGGCAACCCCTGGGGATGTGCGAGTCCTGGGCTGCGGAAGCGTCGCCCGCCGCATGGTGGGCCGCAGCGCTGCCAAGGTCCACCGCGAGGACATGCGGACGGCGGTGGGGGACCAGCAGTTCGGCCTCGCCAAGGACGGATGTGGTGCCCTCCATCGGCGCCTATGCACGATGGCCAACTCGAGCCCAGGCAAGTGGGTGGTGGCGGTGGACCTCTGGGATTCGTTCAGCAACATCCCCCGCGACCTGGTGAAGGAGGCCGTGCGCACCAAAGTGCCTGCGCTGGCCCCGTTGGCGGAAGCCTGGCTTCCCGCCCGAACGCGCCACGTGGCGGGTGGCGGGTCGCAACCCGCCCAGCTGGTCGACCAGATCCGCGGCCTTGACCAGGGCTGCCCTATGAGTCCAGGCTTCTACGCGGTCGGCACTGCGGACGTTCTCAGCATCGGCCGCATGGCCGTGCGCGCGGTGGACACGGAAGGGGACTGCTTGGCCTTCCTGGACGACGCGTACTTCGTGGGCACCGCGGCCGCTGTGTTCCGCGGCCTGGATGCGTGGCGAGCCCGCGTCGAGGCCCACGGGAATGAAGCTCAATATGTCCAAGACCCAGATATGGTCCCCCGATCCCCAAGCTGTCTTGCCGCCCGAGTTTGCAGAGTGCGCCCGGTGCCGCGTCCAGAAGCTCAAGGCGGTGGGGTCCACCCTGGCCTACACGAACCACGACGTGGGCACCGACTGGAGGGGCGTCCCGCTCGCGGACTTCGCCGTCCCAGAGGACCTCGATGAGGGGGGCCGCGGGCAGGCTGGCGGCGCCGGGGCCGCCCCGAGCGCCGCCACGCCACTCCCCTGCGGCGAAGCCTTCCTCCAGAAGCAGGACCGCTACTTCAAGGAGCTTCTGGCGCTGCGCAGGCATGGGCTCTCTGCCTTTGACGCATTCCAGTTGATGCGGATCTGGTCGAGGGGCGCCTGCGTCCACGTCCAGCGGGCGCTCCCGCTCGCGGCGGCGTGGACCCGCAGGGTGGATGATGGAGTGGTCGCCTTCGTCGACGCCCTGCTCGGGGTCACGGCTGCCCCCCGAGAGCAGATCTTCATGAAGGTCAGCGACGGAGGTCTGGGCCGTGGCAGCGCTGAGCAGCGCGGCCCCGCCGCCCTCCTGGCATCCTGGGAAGCTGGGATTCGCGCGGCAGCCCAGGAGCTCCGAGTCGACGACGATCGGCCTCTTCCGGAGGTGGCCAGGCCTTGGCCGTGCCCTCTCAGCAGCAGACGAGGAGCAGGGGCGGCTGGCGGGCGGCCGTCGCCCGCAGAGCGACCGCTGGCAGGGCCTTCTGGAGGGGCGGAAGGGCAAGGGCCAGAAGACGTGCACCCAGCGCGTGCGGGATCACGTCACCAAGACGTTCTTGACTGCGCTGCCAGTGACGGCAGCGGCGGCGGTGCACAGTGCCTCGGGCAGCTCAGCGGGCGCCTGGTTGGATAACTTCGAGGGGGTTTCGGCCCTCGCCGACCGCGCGTTCTGCATTGCAGCCAAGAGGCGCATGCACCTGCCGCTGCTGCAGTCCGAGTGCACGTGCCTGAACCGACCAGCGGCGCCCGCGCGGGCGATGGCGCAGCACGGCCCGACGTGCGGCCGCACGGTGGACGTTCGAGGCGTTCATGCGCTCAACTGTCCCAGGGGAGGCGGCCCGACGCGTCGCCACAATGCCATCCGAGACGCCGTGGCGCTCTGGCTGCGCGGGATGGGCCACCATGCCCTGCTGGAGCAGGTCATCCCAGAGTGGTACACGGAGGAGCAAGGTGCGGCCACACTGGGCGTGGTCTACCATCGAGGCATCCATGGCCGAGTTCGCCTCGACATCAGCTTGGTGGACGAGGTGGCTGTGGCCCAGGCGGGGCGGCCGCGCCAAGCAGCCCTGCAGCGCAGAGAGAAAGTGAAGCACCGTAGGTACCCATTTTCGGGCCTGGTGCCCTTTGTTCTAGATGTCAACGGCCGATGGGGCGCAGAGGCTGAGACGTGGCTGCGCCGTGCCGCAGGGGAATTGCCTGAGGCCGAGCGACCCGCGGCACGTGCAGCCCTGCGCTCGGCAGTGGCCAACGCCCTGCAGGGCCAAATTGCGGAGCAGGTCGCCCTGGCGACGGGGGGCGCAGCGGGGCTGGACGCAGGGCCGCCCCGAGTGTCCAGTCTTGACTAGCTGTGGCCCCGCCCCATTTGCGTGTGCTTACTGACCCTCCCCCCCCCACTCCCGTTCCTGCTGCCCTGGCCAGTCGTAAAAGATTAGTCACATCTGCAGTGCGCACGGTTTTGTTCAGTCCCTTTGTCGCGCGCATAGTGTGCTTCTGCATTGTCATGTCTGTTCTGCACGCCACGTTGTGTCGCCTTCCCGCTTTGTGCATGCTGTGGTCTCGGCATGTCACTCTTTTGATGCTCCTAATCTCTGGCTTGAGATGCTCCCGCAGCCCATGTGGACTGAGCCCGCATGCTACCAATAGCACCTGTTCGAGGTTGCTGGCTAAAGAGGCGTCAAGAGGCGTTGAAGATCGGGGCCGCCCCGCGGGTCCTGGGGCCGTCGGCGGCCCGCCGTCTGCTCTGTCGCCCGCCCGCGACGTGGTTTCCTCGCCCCCTTCCCCCCTCTCCTGCCCGTCCAGGGTCCCGGACGGGGGTCAGGCCGTTTTCCGCCAGCATAATGAACGGGTCCCACGCGCCTGGAGCCGTTGGTTTCAGTCCTTAGCCTTCCGGTGCTATCTTTGTCCCGCCTTGGCAGTTGGCCGCCCCATCTTGGTTCGGTGTGCAGCCTCTCCCCTTCCCCTCTCTCCCCCGTCAGCTGTTTGGCTCGTGAGTACCTGTCTCGCACATTCTCTCGAGCTGCACCTCCCGTGCCATCCACCCGACCAAGTGATGGCGCCCAAGTTCTCGAAGCCTGCGCCGATGCCTTGGCCCGTAAAGACGTGCGCCGCGTGGGAGGCACCAACCTCCAAAGCAAGGCCGACCCAGCGCCCTGTCCAGCAGGTCAGCTCGTCGGAGAGCGAAGACGAGGAGTTCGACATGATGTCCGAGGCGGCGACCTTTCGGACGGCACCAACAGTGCACGCGGAATCAGCGACCCCCGCTGAGGACGCCGATGGAGGCGGCGGTACGGGTGCCGCCCCCAGCGCCGCCGCCTCCGATGGCGCCTCGGCGATGCCTGCATCGGCGGTGGTGCCAGTGACGTCGGCCGCCCTGGCAGCGGCAGCCACGTATGCTGACTTCGCAGCGGAGCAGCGCCGTGGGCTGGATGCGCTCACCCCCGCGCTCCACAACCTTCAGCTGAGGGAGCAAGCTGTGGGTGGCCGTGGCGGCCGCGGGGCGCGCAGCACTGCTGACGGCGAGCGCGCCGTGGGCGACGGGGCCGCCAGCGAAGCCCCGAGTGCGGCGACCACGGGTGCCCTCAGCGGCCATGGGGGCAAACGCCACCGCCGACGCAGCAACAAAGCCGTCTACGGCCAGGCCCCCCAGTCGAGTGACGGCGCGCCAGCCGCGCTCGAAGACGTAGAGATGATGACGGAGGAGGACTACGCTGAGGCGGGCTACGTCCACTGCATGGGCGCATACTGGGTCCCGCCGCACCGCCTGGGCTGGTGTCGGAGGTGCACGGCGCTGG